CTCCTTTTAACGAATTATACTCTCGTGTATACGCGATCAACGAAATGTCTGTGTTTCTGTGAAATAAAATAAAATAAAAAAAAAAGGAAAAAACAAACTCTGTTTCTTAAATAATATCACTTTATTACACGTGAAATTAATATTTCGCAAGAATCAATTCCACTATCCATTGTCTTCCACCAAATAAAACGAACCCTCTGCACACGTTCACTCGGTCTAAAGAATCAACCGAAGGAATCATTACCTTAAATTGTACAGAAAATCTACCCCTCCCCGTCTTTCTCTTTCTCTCTCTCTCTCTCTTTCTCTATTCAATGATTACAACGATTCCAAACAACAAAGACAACAATATTATTCCATATTCTTACAGGAAATCACACTCGCGGGAATCAGAAAGCGAAGTAGCCAAGTGATCTTTCGACATGATCAATATCCAAAATCGTTGATCGATTCACTTTCGTTTCGACGCCGTTCTATACCGGACATACTGTGTCGTGTAGGGGGTGCGTTCTTCCGGTGTTGTTTCCGCGCGGCGCGTACTCCTCCTCGCCCTAACAGCTCTGGATGGCCGCGCGGGGAATGGCAATTAAGCCTGCAGGGCTTCAATTATCGGATGCATTCGTAAGGAAAGCGCGGCTCGCGCGGTGTCGCGTTATAGAGAACGAACGGTATCGCGTCGTTGGGGATTGGGAGGAGGGGAGGGGGAGGAGCACGAGGGTGTAATTGAAAATCCCACGAGAGCAGTTTTCCCCGGTGTCGTTCGATCTTAATTGCTCGGAATTGCGTTCGGGCCAGTTGGAACTTTCTCCTCCCCCCTGTGAAAAAAAACGAGGTAACGCCGGTGCGAATGATTGGCCGACTTCCTTTCTCCTTCCTTTTCGTTCGACGAGATATGTTCGTTTCGCGGATGTGGATCGTTCTTCTCGTTTCTTTATCTCGCGAGCGAGAGGGTGAAAGGAAAAGAAAAGAGATTCCCGACTTGACCCTTTCCAGAGGAGTTTTCGAGAGCTTTTGAAACAGGTTGATTGGAGGGGAAGACAAGTGTTTCGAAGGATGCGTGTCACGCGGGGATGAAATAGGCAGAATCGCTATGGATTTTATTTATTTTTTTTTTTTTTTCTTTTCAATTTGCAAATCTTATTCACGACAAGAAATCGATGAAGCGCGAACGGCGGAGTTAAGGAATGCTCGCCAATTCGAAGCTACCTCTCTCGTGAAACTTGGACATCGGTAGGGGTGGCAATATAGGAAGTTGGAAAGGTTAATATCTAAAATTAGACGCGGGGAATCGAATTCGAAGTTGTACGATACGCTTTCTCCCGTCGGGATTGGGCCGCGGTTCGATCGATGCACGTTTCGAACGGGTAAACCGAAGCCGTACGAGCGTTTGGACAACCCTTGTCCCGCAGACGTTGACGCGTGGCTGTGACAGCGAAAGCTTTACCCGCGTTCTTTCATCCCCCTTAGGGCACCGCTACAATCCGCATCCGCATACGCATACGTAGAGAGAGAAAAAAAAGACAACACGCGTAGTAGTCAGTAGTAGAATCCTAGCATTCGATTGACTCGTCGCTCTGCCCTCTCCCCCCACTCCTCTCAATTTTCGCTTCGAGCGATGATATTTTATATAGGTTTATATATCGTTTCTTACGACGAATGGAAAGGGAAAAATTTATCTTGCGAAAGATGAATAGAATTCTTTAAGTTATTGCGCGTTTGTACTGTTGAAACTTGGAAATCTTGATTGGTTGAAGTAAGGTGGGTGGATTTACGCGAGGTATCAAAGGGAACGATAGAAGGATCGAAATTGTGCGTTTTCATTTCTTCTCCTCTTCCCAGTTTTTTGACGCGCGCGTTTTAATAAACTCCGTTGGCATCGATCGCTGGGGGGGAGGCAAGTGGTAGTTTCGAAAAATTTTTGACGCTGACGCCTCTCTTTCTTTTCTTTTCGAAGAAACAGGGCGAGCCACGTTTCCGTCGTCTGTCGAAGTTAATCAAGATGAAGGAGCGTTGGAAAATTCAGGTTCCTCTCTTTCTTCTTCTCCGTATTCGTTTATCGAACACGGGAAATGAATTTCGTTATCAGCGAGAACGTTTTTGAGTCTCTTGCGATATCTCCCCCCTCTTTTTCTCTTTTCATCCCTTATCTCTCTTTTTCTCTTTCTATCTATCTTCCCTTCCTCTTCTCTTTGCCCTCTCGTCGTCGAACATCGATAGTCGATTTTGCGATAGCGATAACATTTCCTCGTCGTCTCGATACGATCCTCTCTCTTTTTCTCTCTTTCTCTGCCAACTCTTTTTCTCTTTCTCTCTCTCTCTCTCTGTTTCTCTTTCTCTCTCTCTCTCTCTTTCTCTCTCTTTCTCTCTCTCTCTCTCTTTCTCTCTCTTTCTATTCCGTGAACAAAGTTCCTAAATATTCCGTCGTTCGCTTGTCGTTAATCGACAATCGATATCGTCGACGAAGGGAAGACTCTCACGCACCTAGGTCACACTAACGACACGTTCGAGGAGACGTTGGAAAATCGAGAATCGTCACAATGGCGAACGACACACAGAGGGAGAAAGAGAAATGAAAGGAAAAAAAAAAAAAAAAAAAACGATGGGACAGAAACATCTCTTAGAACAACAATCACATGAACAAGCAATAACAACATGAACAACCTCTAAATATATATATATTTAAAACATATAGTAACAATATAGCTATAGTTAACAAACATAGTAATAACAACAACAACAACAACAACAACAACAAGCAAGACAAAATCAACATGCACCACAATTGCAATATATTATTATTGCGATAGATATATACCTACCTGCATTTATACCACACATTACGCCGTAGATCTGCCGGACCCTTCACCAATCATCGAGACGCATGAAAGTGTCAAATAGCAATTTCTACATACCACCACCGAAAAATATATATATTTAAAAAAAAAAAAAAAAAACTGCAAATACGCCCGAGTAAAAGAGTAAAATATTTACCAACAACGTATTAATAGATAGATACAACGCAACGTCGAGAGAGTAACAACACGCTCTCGACTAAGCAGAATATCTTGTGCCAAAATACGTCTCAGAGTCAACCCTCCAATATATATATATATCTATATTAAATGCTCACCACCACAACGTTTCGCAAAGGCTACCAGTGCACTCACAGACAAACATTCGATCGACCACTGTTACCGTCCAGAAATATATAATAAAAATAAAATAAAATAAAAAATAAAGTATATATGATATATATATAAATCGAACAATACATCGAAAAAAAAAAACAAATAAAAGTATAATAAAATATAGAATGCCCACGTCGAGATATCGAGGCTCTCAGAGAGACCCGTATACCTCGGTTGCGACTGAGGAAAATCAAAATACAAAAAGACCCTTTTGTCGTCTACCCGTTCGAAAGAAAATATATATATATATTTCTCTCTTTTTCTCTCTCTTTCTCTCTCTCTCTCTCTTTCTCTTTCTCTTTTTCTCTCTTTCTCTCTTTCTTTCTTTCTTTCTCTCTCTTTCTCTCTCTTTCTCTCTCTCTCTCTCTCTCTCTCTTTTTTCTTATCACATTTATGTATGTATATGTACAAGGTAAAGTGGTTTAAACGTTACAAGCTGTTTTCCTCATCATGGCAGATATCGATTTAAAATTTTTAACGTGTTGAACAATTCAGAAGGATTAACTAAATTTTAAATTAAAATGTCGCGAGGGTGAGTTTTATGATATATAAGGATTTTTTATCTCTTCTATAATGAAATGGCATATTAATTTTTCGATATACGAACAATCCCTACTGAAATTAATAAACATTTAATCGAATTATTTTCTTTTATATTCGGTAAAGAATACTCCACGTAAGAGGATATGGAGAAAAAAGGAATTTATGCATAGTAATTTAAAATCTTTTTCTTATATATACAGAGTATTCTTCACTATAATTATACGGAATAGAAAAAAAAATAAAAGAAATAAAAATTTCAAATAGATATTATTAATTTCAATGGCAATTGTTTGTGTATCGAAAAATTAACATGCCATTTCGTTTAAAAGAAAATGGAAATGGCACTCTTCCAATCCTTACGAAAAACTCAATCCCCTTCGATATTTTACAATCTAAAATATTCATCCCTCCCCACTGAATCATTCAACGTATAAAAATTTCAGCTCGATATCTGCAATGGTTTTTCCAGAAGAAAACAGCTTGTAACATTTTTATCCACTCCCACCCTGTATATCTCTCTTTCTATTTATTTGTACACATATATACCTGTATGTGTATGTTTGTAATCTACGCACACAATCCAGCTGATCTATCCTTCTTTTTGTCGCTTGTTACATACTATATGCACATCACAAAAATCCAGACAAAAAGAAAATAATATATATATATTTACACAAGAAACGGGATCGACCTCATATATATATATATACATATGTATCTATGTATATTTTATATATATATACATACATATATATATATAATTATAATATAAAACTAACCCGCAGAAAGAAAGGAAAAGACACACATATATATATAGACGTATAATACGTGCCCCCGTTACGCAGACGGATTTCGAGACAGAACAGAAAACAACAACAGTAACAACAACAACAACATCAACAACAAAAAGTATAATTAACAGTATAAAAAAAATATATATATATATATACCTATATATATATACATGTATATGTACATATATACAAAATACTTACGAAAGTGTAATATCGTGTACACGGGATGACCGGAGAGGCCCGAAATGCGATGTTGTCGCAGGAAAAAAAAAACATACCATATACAAAAACAAAACCAATATATATATACAAAAAAAAAACAAAAAATATATATATAATAAATAAAAAAAATATATATATATACCAAATAATAATCGTGCGACAATCGAGCGGAAGGAGAATCCGAATGGAATTGTGGAAACACATGAGAACATGGGGGTTGTTATGTTGGAATGTTTGTCTGTGTGCAGATGCAGCCTACTCGTTGTTCACTTGACGGTGATGATGGATTCACGTGGAACCGAGTCAGGGCCCGGTGAGAATGTGGGGCTTAGGCAGGTCTACGGCTCTTACACCCTCTCCCCCTACTACTGTCTGCGAAGAGTGAGAGTGATAGTCATCGGTCTCTGTGAGAACGCGGACATCAAATCGTCCGTTCTATCTAGAGTTCGGAGTCGGACGGATCGGGGTGATCGAGAGAACACACGCGGGGTTGATCACGGTAAGTCAGTTCATAAAACAAGTGTCTGTTCATAAAACCAGTTTACCAGGACAGTTTTTTTTTTTCTTTCTCTTGTACCTTTCTCTCTCTCTTTCTCTCTCTCTCTATATATACATATATATATATTTCTCTCTTCTCTTTCCAAATTCTAACTGTCCACCATCCATCCTCTGTCCGGGAGATTTAAATTTCCTGGATATAAATACCAGTTTGAAAATCCTTTCCTTCGTTTTCACCCGAGCGAAGCTTGTTCGCGCTTCGATGAAAGGTGGAGTCGATTTGCTCTCTAATCCGAGAGTGGCTGACCACCAGGGAATACCGATTCGCGAATACCGCAAACACGGGAAAGCAGTTCGGGATTTATCGGGGTTTTTTAAGTTGATCGTGGAGAAGAAAAATCGTGGTCGACTCGCCACCGCACAAGGATTAAACGGAAGAGTTCGCCCGAATTCGAATTTATCGCGATTCAATAGAGTTCGAAGATTCGATATTTCTTTTTTTCCTTTCCTTTCTTTTCTTTTCTTTTCTTTTCTTTTTTCAAACCGATTCGAAAAAATTAACCACGCGAGAAATTCTACCCACTCTTTTTCGCCGATTCAATGGAGTCAACGACAAGCGAACAATGGCGCACGGGTGGGTGGGGAAGCAATGGTGAAAGGGGAAAATGGGAAAAGTTACGGAATCGTGGAACGCGTGGCTCACGTGTCGAACGTGACGTTTCGAGTCTGGACAACGATTTTTCGCGATCGATAATAACCGGCAGTGAAAATCGGGGATGAAGGAAGAGAAAAGTCCTTCTCCCTCTGTGTTGAATATACACCCCCTATATCGTGTTCGATAAGCATCGTCGGAATTGATCACCGGTTTTTTTTTTTTTACTCTCGAAAGCAGGGTGATCGATCAGTTTGTTTGCAAGAGCGATGGCCGAAGCACGATTAAAAACTCGGGATTAAGAAAGTTCGATCCTGTTCGAGCTTTTTTTTTAAAAAAGTCCCTGGGGAATTGCTATCTTTTTTCTCTCTCTTGTGCACTCTCTTGTCGTCATCGACGATGATATTAATTCCGATGTCTTTCTTTTTCTTTTTTTTTTTTTTTTGTTTTCGAATATAACAAAATTTCCTTGTTTATTTAATTTTGATCGAGAAAAATGGAGAATATTATATAACGGAGAGGAATATCGTTGTGCAGTGATGCTAACGTGATTGGAATGCCGGTGAACGTCCAATAATCAGTCAAAGCGCGAAGACTATAAGTAGAAATGCTTGGATAACAGACACAAAGAGAGAACGGACGGATTGAGAAATGAATGTAGTGGTACTGTACACGATACACGTATGAACGCGTTCGTATATACGTGGTTATTAATTAACGTGGCTACGTCACGATTGGTCACATTGTATAAAGGATTATTCGAAACGAAGCGTATTGCATTTCTAATTGCTCGCCGTCATTCGAAACGATAAACGATTCACCAGGGAATCGTTTCCAGATTCTATAAATATCACTGACAATCATTAAAAGCGTATTTTTTTTTCTTCCCCTCCCCCCTTTTTTTCCTCTCCTCGAAATTTTATTGCGTAAAGTGAATTCGTTGCTCGTACACGTTTAATTATTGGAGGCGTGCGATTCATCAGAGCCGCGATAAAACGAAGTTTCATCGCTCGACCTTTCACCTTTCCTCGAACGCGTCCATACTGATATTTCGCATCGCATTTATAAGCCCTTTCTCGAACTGATTTCGATTCTCAGGATAATTATTGGAAATGAATTTCTTGCCCTTTTTTTTTTTTTTTTTTCCTTTTTTTACGACGACACAGTTGCGATAGTGGATACGTTTTTTTTGCACTTGATAGTAGAGATAAAGTTATCCTCGTCATTTTCTCGAACGAGCCTCTGCGATTTTTTTATTTTTATTTCGTTCAAATTTATCGTATCGCACTCTTGTTAAAGAATCATCAACGTCGAAAATCTCCAATTTATCTTACTCTTATCTTCCTCGTTATAATTCCAATATACGTCTGTGTGTCAAATCACTAACTGCTGTAATACTTCGCCATCTGAAAATTTCGGGAAAAAAAAAGAATTAATAACGGAGAGATCCGATGGGAAACAAGCACATTTTCTGTTCCAATATTAAGTAATGCTTATGCATGTAACGTGGCATTATATACGTTATAAAATGTAAAATAAAATAGAAGTAACAACATACAGAGAAGATTTAAAATTAACGTACACGTGTCGTCCATAAACTTGTTTTCCAATAATAAAAAAAGAAAAGAAAAAAAAAAAAAAAAGAACTCTTAAACGTTTAACCATCGAGAAAAACCCACGCGAACATTTTATCTTGCTACTAAGATGCTCTTACGTTCCTTTGAATGCCGTCGAAATTAAACATTCCCTCTGAAACATCACTCTAGAACCAGAAATTCTGTTCCCCTTCGTTTGAACCTGTTGCTCCCCCTTTCTCTTTACCCGGCAACGGAAAACTTATGCACAACCACCTCGAAAAACCGGTGACGAGCCGGCGTTACTTTACGATTATCACGGTCGTCGCGGGGATTCTTCCGAACGGTGCGAATACCGGTTAAAAAACGTTAGATTCAACGTATGTTGGATAAGTTGTTGGCTGGCCAACACAGTGATTACGAATGCATCAAATTTCAAGATGCGGCCAAGATGTGTCAAGAAGCGACCCTAATTTTCGCCCATCGCAAACTCTGGAGGACTGGTGGAGACGATAACTCATCCCCCGCGAACTCGCGTAATCGCAACTTTTGTCGCGCTTGTATTCGAGCGTGGGACGTCCCCCGTGTTTTTTCAAGAGGGAAAGAAGATGGTGGCCTAGAGGTTTGAGATTTAAATTTCTTTCGAGCTTAATTTTCATTCTCGGCTCGTCATGATTTTTTCCTCTCTTGGAAGGCTTTTTGAGGGCGGAGGAGGAATCGATAATCATCGGTTTTGGAATTTGTCTCGACGATCGTTGAAATAGAGTATGCAAAAGAAAGAAAATCGGTGTCGATTTATTAACGCATTTTTTTTCTTCCTTTATCAAATGAACAATTTGGTTTCTCGAATGTTATTAAAGGTTTTTATTCAATTATCTCGCGAATAAGTGAAAGGCGTTTTTAAAAAAATAAAAATTCCATATATAGTGAGAAGTGGTAAATCGTGCATATGTAAGTATGAATTTTAAAAATTCCATTTTCCCTAAAATGTAACTCACTTTGAAAAAAAAATAATAACAATAATGTGAATATCTCTGAGCCATTGCAATTAATCACATATACGAGTCGTTCTCGTATATACGTATGCAAATATAATAGTTTTGAAGCAAAATGAAATATTAATAATTTTATAGAGTCGCGTAATCTAGTTTTCACGGTGAAAATATACCGCGTAACTATTATATTTTCTTCGTGGTAAATAAATTGACATAATGGAACGGAGGACAACGGGAGATATGGGATAATTTTCGCGACTAAATGAAACATTCTCGTACATCTAACGAAACAGCGGCCATAATAACAGAAACAAGTATATTTCAGTAACATTATTAATCTTGCGCAAGGTGTTTTAGCCCCGATGATGCGATTAATCCAACCGTGAAATTTATTGTCATTGTCTTAATCCTTAAGATGTCAACATTAATCAACTTCTGATATTCATCATAACTCTCTAATAATCGAATTCCAAGCTCGAGATTGCTAAGGCAATCCAGGTTTCCCTTAACTAATAATTTCTCTCGAGCAAATAGATAATGGATATTAGCATTTCGCTCTTAACAATTTATCAACAAAATATCGTAAAACCAAATCACTCATTTTGCAATTCTTTTTCTAGGAATAATGAAATATAATATTTAAAAAAATTTCAGAGATGGATATTCGACGAATGAATGAAGAATTTTCGAACAAAATTATTCTCATTTGAAATTGAGCATACTCATTCTGATAAAATTTTCTGATAAAATTTCAAATATTCTTCAATATCTTCTATCAAAGATTGTTATTATAATGTTTGACGTTTACATAAAAAGTCACGTCAGAAATATCGAACTGAGGATTAAAAAACGAAGATTCAACACTTTCTCTCTCTCTCTCTCTCTCTCTCTCTCCCTCTATATTATCCTCGCAGATATCGACCAGGAATAACTAACCAAAACCATCGTGCACGCAATCAGGAACCGCATACGCTCGATCACTCACGATCATCCAATCCGTTTATAGCTTGCGTTCACGGTTTTGGCGATGGGCTAACAGCCATCCATGTGGTCGGTGTTCTCCTCGACCGAGGTAATTTTATGGGGTGCGCGTTGCCAGTCAGCATTGTAGGTCGATACACGGGGCGAATAGTCGTTGTTGGCCCGATGGAAACGCGTTTGAAGAGAGATTGCACTCGTGGTGCAGCCTCGAAAAGAAACAAAGGGATAACGACACGACGTTTGTGTCGTGACACGACGCGGCCCCTCGTTGCACGCAACTGGATCGTTTGTAATTGTCGTTTCGGTGCAAAAAAAAAAAGAAAAAAAGAAAAAAGAAAAGAAGGAAAAAAAGGGGGAAACGTTTTCATTACGCGCGGCTGTCCACTTCCAAGTACGAGTCGCGTTTTTGTCCCCTTCGATGATTGAAAATTTTGGAACCTAGCGAGTTTCGGGGTCACGAACTGTAACTTTAAAAACTACCCTCGAGCGTTAAAAAAAAAGCACTCGTGTTTCGAGTTTGTACGAGTTTTTTCGAGAGAATCGGTCAGATGCACTTGAGAATGAGTTTTTTTTTTTTTCCTTTCTTTCTCGTTTCATATAAAACTTGTCTGCTATCATATTTTCATGTTATATGAATGTAAATTACAATTCCTGGATGTGAATTAAATTTTTTTTCAAGGGTTTTCTTTGTGACTCTTCAACTTTTTTTTTAGATACATTTAATCTTTTAAAAAAAAAAATTTCATTTTTAAATTCTTAATTCTTTATAGTTTTTTTTTTTTTTTTTTTTTTATTCTCA